AAGTGTAAGTTTTACGCTAACGCGTTCACTAGAGAGCGCGTTAAGAATTTGTATGGAGATTTGTACTTTTTGGTAGTTACCGCTAGGGACGCTCTTACGGATTCCATACTAAAATCTTAACGTGCTCACGATCGACAGTGAACGTAAACGTCAAAAAAACGTACACTAAGCGTTTTGAAGAGTACTTTTTGTCAATTAAATATCGCAGTAGAAAATATTGTCTAAGTAAAATAGTTACGGAGTTTTTAATTGGCAGAGATTTTGTAAATTTTTATTGTTGTTGATAAGATAGTACATGGTTGTATTTTTAGTGTTTACAAACTTAAACTTTAATGTTTAGTAAAGACTAGTTTAAGTGAGATTTGTGATATACTTTCACGCTGCAGCTGCACCAGCATGCAAAATGCTTGGCTCAGTCTGTAGAGAGGAAGAAGCATCGACTATCATAAGATATCGCTAAATAAATAAATTAATATATTTCGTGGGCCGTAGTAATCTGCACACAATCAACATACCTGTTTAAAAATTTAACTCATTTTATACACCATCTCTATTTTGAACTATTTTTCAAATAAATGACCATTTGTTTGTTAGCTGTGTCGGTCGTTTTAGGGCTTTTTGTATTTAAGGAAATAGGTAAACAGTACATAATAAAACGTCTCATTCATTTTCATTTCTAACAGCATTAAAATAGTGAATCCTATACTCTGATTCTAAAATTCAGTTAAATAGCCCACAGTAATAAAATAGATAATAAATTAATATCCGTACCAAATGTTTACTACTACCGTCTGTAGCGTCAAGTCGCCACTCGCGCGCGACATCACACAAACACGAACGATAATGTTTCGTTTCTATCTCTCTTTCTCTCTATTTCTATCTTACGTCATTGTACACTCGGGGGAATAAGTGAATTTGTTTTATGCTCGATTTTATCGATTATGTATTGATTTCTCTTACGTATTTAAATACCTAAACAATAAAAAATATTTTTAGGAGTTAAGCCAGTGAAATTATTTCTTAGCACCCGATACAACCCTTCCTACGCGAGTCCAACTCTCACGTGGCCGGTTTATTTTTATAATTAGTTGTTAGCAGTTTGATAAAACTAGGACTTTTTGACTAGAGAAAAATATAAAACTTTCAGTTACTGAGAATATTCAGTTGAGATTTTGTACTTTTCTCAATTCAGAATGCGGCTCTTTGTTGACGTTTTTTCTTGGCAGACGCTTTTAAGATACCTAAATGTAGTGCATATCTTTTATTCTAAGCTAGCAATCCAGTTTAATTGACACAATTTACATGTAGTAAGAGTAAGTGGCTGAAACCATAACCGGGAATGATCATACTCCCGATTAAGGTTCATATTCCATTTTAAGTCTGATCTTTTTATTGTAAAAATATTAGAAAAGAAATAAATTGACCATAAACGTGTACACAATTGAAACGTGTACACGAATATTGATCAATGTTTCAATTTATTCCCCGACTGTATCTGCGCTGACGTCATATTAGGTTTACTTTCGTTACAGAAGATTGTAGGTACGAGTACCAGGTTATCATGATTTAAAGACACGAGATATAAAAATTCTGTTTCAAAGATGAAGCATCTACAGATAGACAAAGTTACCTCGAAGAGACTTAGTGATATACGTCGCCTACTTTCATAATATTGTAATTATTTTCATAAAAAAGAAACAACCTATTATGAAAAAAAATTGTTCGTGCAATAACGAATATTCTACTTCTCTAGAGGTCGCGATATTTCTTCTTCCTCTGCGTCTGTATTTGTTTAGATTAGATGAAATTGATTTAATGAGTACATTATTGAGTGATGTGTAGAAGCATTAATTATAAAGATTATTATTTTAGAGGGACCGTTCTACAGTTCGTAAAGTGATATTGTACGAGCATTTCAGGCGAAAGTATTTAGTCCAGTGCAGTGAACATAGTGTACTGTTTATTGTTTGTTTCCGTGCCTGATATGTCCGTAGCATGGTCATAGTAATATGGCAAGGTATAATGGAAAGGTAGCTCTAATCTGAATAAAAACGAATTTTGTAAAAAGTTTTAAAATAATGTTTTCGTGTAATATTTTGCATTAAAACGGAGATTTTTCTTGTGAGAGGCACCGAGGACTTCAAACCGTGACTTCAAATACTCAGGTGCTCGTGGATCAAAAAGTATCTGATAAAGTGTGCAAACAATCCTTAAGTGCCTACGCTCCCGTATAGGAAGCCACTCAAGATGTTGACGATAATTGGAGATGTGGTCATATTTACGCAGACCGAAAACAAAACGAATCGTATTGTTCAGAAGACGATCCAATCTATTGAGAGAGGTTTGATTGATATCTGAAGTACAAACATCAGCATAATCGAAAAGGGGATGTACAAGAGCTTGGATGAGAGCAGACTTAGTACGGGGAGGGAGAAAGTTCTTAAGTCGATAAAGTGAGCCGAGAGCGCGATGGATTTTACCACAGACATTATCCATCTGGTCATCCCAGTGCAAAGTACTGTCAAGAATAAGCCCAAGATTTTTTACCTTAGCAGCATAAAGGATCACCGAGCCAGCATAGACAACAGCTGGAATTGTGTTGAGATTAGTTTGCGATATTTGTCGTGAGCTACCAATAATAATGGCCTGACATTTGTTGGGATTGACAGAAATACCGAAGCTTTTTGACCATTCAAATATACGCGAAAGATTTTGGTTCAGTATACATATAGCCTTATTCAAGTTGTGAATGTCATCCTGAGCATATATCTGCAGGTCGTCGGCGTACAGGTGATAAGAGGTTGTAAGAACAGAAGTGAGGGAGTTAATAAAAATTGAGAAGAGAAGAGGAGAGAGCACACCGCCTTGAGGGACCCCAGCAAACAAGTCACGCCAGTTAGAAACTAAATTACCCACTCGTACTGCCTGCTGGCGTCCATGAAGATAAGAGGAGAACCATGCGAGCACGGATGAAGAACAGCCAAGCTTAGAAAGAAGAGCAAGGAGGACATCGTAATCAACTGTGTTAAAAGCGTTTGAAAAATCAAGTAAAACTAACACAGTTAAACGAGAGTTCTCCATACCATCACGAATATCGTCAACGATTTTAATAAGGGCAGTGGAGGTGCTATGACCTGGGCGGAACCCTGACTGGAAAGGGGATAGGAGCTGATAACGAAAAACAAAGGATGAAAGTTGTTTATGTACAGCAGCTTCGAGAACCTTGGAGAGGAAATGCAAAATTGAAATTGGTCTATAATGATTCATGGAGTCAGGACAAGAAATTTTAGGGAGAGGGATAGTGTAAGCCCTTTGCCAGGCATCGGGAAAGGAACCAGATGTTAAAGAATGGTTAAGTATTGAGGTTAGTGTCGGGAGAATAGCATCAAGTAACAGATTTATCATATTCCTGCTAATGTTGTCGGATCCCATAGCCTTGGACTTTATAGAGACAATCAACTTACGAGTGTCATCTACAGGCGATACAGTCGTAGAGAAAGTCTGGATAAACTGAGGAACTTAGCGTTGACAGGGAGGGTATTAACAGGAGAGAAATGACGGTTGAGATCATCTAACGCGAAAGGGCAGGAAGGCTGAGCGCGAGACTTTCCTAACCCCAGAGAATTCAGGAACCTCCACATTTCCGCAGGGGAGGAGTTAATAATGGTTTTATGAATGTAATGGCGTTTGGCTCTTCTTATCACCTGGTTACACCTGTTTCTGGCAAGTCTAAATGCCTCCCAGTTTGTATCAGTACGACACCTTTTATAGAAACGAAACGCTTTGTTACGTCTACGCATCACAATGCGCACATAAGGGGTAATCCATGGTGCAGGAGGTCGTTTCAACTTGACAGTCTTGACTGGAGCATGATCGTCATAAAGCTTGAGGATTACGCTATTAAATCTGGCAACCATATCATTTACTGAGGCAACATTGCATACAGAAGACCAATCAATTAGAACTGCATCCCTCATAAGCGCCCCAACATCCAATCGTGCGAAATTCCTCATGCGAACCAACCTCGGCTTAATTTTGGGGGGCTTAACCTTATAGACGACAAAGATAAGGTCATGTCTGGAGAAGCCTGGAGCAGGCACCTGACCATGTTTTACAACACGATCAAGTGAAGATATGAGAATATGGTCGATCCAAGAGTCATCAGTAGCAAGATTATGATGTGTTGGACTAAGAGGTAGAATAGAGAAGTTCGCGGACTCGATTATCGATCGAAACCTATTAGAAGAGGGGGTATCTTTAATGAGATCCGTATTAAAGTCGCCCATGATGATGTGATGTTCGTAATCAGCTGCGTAAGAGTCAATGAGAGATTCTAAATCGGAAAGAAAAGGAATAGAAGGGGGACAATAAACAACGCCCAAAATCACTTTTGTACCTTTGACATTAATCTCAAGTAAGAGGTATTCCATACAACCATGATTAGAAGAAGAGGAAGCTATTAATTTAAAGGGAATACCATGCGCCAAATAGATGGCTACTCCGCCGCCACCCTTACCAGTACGATCGTTGCGAATCAGTGTGAAGTTAGGAAGATCGTAAGAAATAGATTTTAGGCAAGGTTTCAACCAACTTTCCGAAACAAGAATAGCTTGAACTAGGTTATTGTAGAAGGTGTTAAGAAGATCTGTATAATGGCATGGAATACTTTGAGCATTAATATGGCAAACTTTTAAGCATTCTGGAAATAAGCCAAGTTCGAGTGCAATCCGTGTACTCAAATCGTCATCATCCAAAGAAGTATCGATTGAATTAAATGAGGAGTTCACATCACTAGCAGAGCAATATATACTAGAATCCGACATAACAATGATTTTATAACACAAAAAATAAATACAAACAAATAAAATATATAAAAAAACTCAAATATCATAATAACATTGACCTGCACTATTCCCTGGTTGAAAGGTTTACAAACGTAAAGATAAAGCTACATAATAAGTTACATTAAGTTGTATAGGCTGTATGAATTATAAAAATCCCTTTGTCACAATATCAATGATAGTTTACAAGTGACACATGTCATAATTGACAAGAGTGAAAGCAGTTTGTTGTTGCATTAAATAGTGCCGAAAAAAATAAAAAAAATGTGTGTAGTAATGAATAATAAACCAATTCTGCCCCAAGCTTATACAAAAGCAAAAATAAACTAAACAAGCAAAAGTGAGGACTTACAGCAAACAGTGTTTGTGTTCATAAATGAGTAGCAAGTTATGTTTACACAATAAAACGGAACATGGGTACTATAAACAAGGTTATTGGCAATGCTAAGAGCAACCTTTGTGTTAAAATATTATAAACTAAACAAGCAAAAGTGAGGACTTACAGCAAATAGGATTTCTGTTCATAAATTAATAGCAAGTTCTGTTTACACAATGAAAAGCAACATGAGTACTATAAACAAAGTTATTGGCAAAGCTAAGAGCAACCTTTGTGATAAAATATTATATTACTTGCCACCCTTAACAATGCGCTTAGATCTTGCCTGTATTGACCGAGATGTAGATGGCATGCCCGTAGACAAATCACAACCAACAGGTACTACGGCTGAAGCTTTGCTTGCTGATGTTGAATTAGGGAACTGGTTCATAGTAGTAGTCAGTTCATCGCTGCAGGCAACTCTTAGACGTCCACCATCTGGAGCTTTCACGATGATATTCCCATCGGCTGTCCAAACATTTGGAATACCAAAGTGACCCCGAGCTGTATGGAATACTGCTTGACGTGCCTTAGTAAGGAATTCACGCAGTACCAAGGAGGATCCCTTGAGTTTCGTCTTATTCCTCCAGCTGGTGGCACGCAGACCATAATCAGTGAATCGGAAAACCACAGGACGAGAACGACCCTCGGCAAAGGCACCCAGCCGATAACATGACTTAAGAGATGAGGAGTCCAAATTACTGATGCCCAGGTGTTTTTGTAGCAAAGTTAAAACAGTAGCTTTTAAGTCCTCATCAGGTTTCTCAGGGACTCCACAGAGAAGAAGATACTTGCTCCGATGCCTTGCTTCCTGCTGGTCTAATGATTTCGAGACCTCACCAATCTGTTGTCTTAGAAGGGATAGTATACTCCAGACAATCTTCTTGAAGGACTCAAACTCATCCCGCACTTGTGGTACCTTGTCTTTGTCTGAAGGGGATGCCTTAAGTAGAGCTTCAAACTCCTTCATCTTGAGCATCACAGCAGACTCTAGTGACTTCTGTGTCTCGATAACAGCTTCAACACTGACCATAGTGGAGTTATAATGTGCAGTAGAAATTTAAAAAAAAAATCACAAAACTGAAACTGTTGGAGTGGCAGGTGAGTGCAGGTCACTTACTTAAGTGCGCATTAGATTGTTCTTCCAACAATATATGTTATGAAATGAACTATAAATAAAGCTTTAAGCTTAATGTTGTAAGAAAAATAGCAATTATTTTAATTTTAAAATAAAATTAACTAAGACAATTAATGTTGCTTAATTCACGCCTACCGCCGAAAAAAAGTTCCATTGCAGGTGACATGAAGTCAATGAAATATAATTTATTTGTTACAGAGGCGCCATGGCTGTAACAATCTGATAAGTAGCGATGATGGGAACTTGTAAAGTGCTACTTCTACAACTTGCTAGCATCTTCTTCTTCTTTTTTCTTCAACGGGCATCTCCGCATCTCGACGACCAAATTGCGCCTATTTTGCGTGTGGAGGGTGTGTCCCGGATACTACTCCAGCCAGCCCAGCTTTGCCAGAAACGCCCCCAGCACCTTCACATCTCCGATGGCCTTAGGACTTGAGTGGCTGTTTCTTACGCCTCCATGCATCCTCTGCACAAGGGGCTGTCGGTGACACCTAGATTGAAAAGGTGCCTGTTAAAGTTGCCATGACCAGTAATAGCACCCCTTACCAGGTGCAAATATGGTTTACTTAACTGTAGGAGGGCTTTGGAGAGGCGAGCGTTCACTCAGGGTAGTGCAAGTTTGGCCTCCTCGCAGGTTTCCAAAGTGTGCCAGTAGTGTTGATGCAGTTTACTCGAGTGTTCACGTATCCTACCAATTAACCAGCTTACCGGAATAGAAATGATCGGTTCCGGGCCTAATATGTTAAAAGCAATTCAGCATTTTACTTCATTGTACTACATTTTCATGTCATCATTTTTAGTATTCATTCGATAGTCACAGTGTTCTCATATCAAATCATTTTATCATTTAGCATTAAAAGTCAAAAATCAATAAATAATTTCTATCGATTGAACTCTCCGTATCATTTCTTATCAAAACTAAAGATTTTGCGGCAGCAGCGCGTACAGGCCCATTGGTGTTGCATCTGATCCTCTGCGTGCCAGTTCGTCAGCTGCATCATTTCCACGTGATCCACTGTATCCCTTTATCCATTGGATAGTAATTATATTGTGTGTCCCTACCATGTTTAGAACCTGGTGACACTCCTGTAGAAGACTCGATCGGACAGAACTTCCTTTGATTGCCTGTAGAACTGATTTACTGTCCGAGAAGATCTGGATTTCTGATCCTGTTACCTTTCTTGTAGTTATCGCTCTCGCCGCCAGGGTGATCGCCATACATTCAGCCTGGAAGACTGTATTGTATGGGCTAAGGGACAGGAACAGATTTATGTTGAGGTCCTCAGAGAATACACCAGCTCCTGTGCCTGTTGAGGTTTTGGAGCCGTCCGTGAAAACTGTGAGGGCCTTGTTTATTACCTTTGGATCGTCACTGTCCGTAAGATGTATCTTGTATTTCTTGTATTTCTTATCTTGTATGTGGCTGTTCCAGTTTAACTTACTGTCAAGGGTTATGCCTAGATACTTTACCTCCTTGGACAGTTTTAGTGTTGTACTAAATAGTTTCGGTAGGTGAAACGTGCCTACATTGTGTTTGGTTGTAAACATTACCAGTTCCGTTTTTGCAGGATTCACGGTCAGGTCGTACTTTTCACACCAGCGTTCGACTCTCTTCAGGGCGGCTTGCATGGTGTTGCAGGTTATACCAGCATCGGTGCCTAGAGTTAATATTGTGATATCATCGGCATACCAATCACACTCCTGAATGCAAACCAGTGTAGAAATGGTTTGCATTCAGGAGTGTGATCAGGTTGTTGACCAACAGTTTCCACAGTAGCGGCGAGAGTACTCCCCCTTGGGGGCATCCCCGCGCCACCAGTGCCCCCGTACTGTCCTCACCTGCCACCCGAACTATCCTGTTGCGTATCATATTCACGATCCAGTCTATAACTTGTGGCTTTAGTCCATGTCTTTTGAAAGCCGCCTCAATGCTGGTGAAGTTGGTTCTATCAAAGGCACCTTCGATATCAATGAAAGTGCCAAGACAGATGAGACAGAAGGGCCAATTCTATCTTACCGACTAATTGATGGAGAGCCGATTCTGGTGATTTACTTGCTAAGCAGGCGTGTTGATGTTTATGTATCAGAGAAATGCTCAGTGTACCACTTCGTACATATCTGTCACATAGTCTTTGCAGAGTTTTGAGTAGGAACGATGTTAGACTGATGAGCCGGAAAGATTTGGGGTTAGTATAGTCGGTTTTTCCCGGTTTGGGTATAAATACTACCTTTACTTCTCTCCATCTGTGTGGCGTGTATCGGTGAACAAGAAACGCTTGTAGTATACAGGTGAGTGCTATGACAATAGTCTCGCCTCCCCATTGTAGTAGTGCTGGGAAAATGCCGTCGCTTCCTGCCGCCTTAAAGAGAGAGAAGCTGCTGATGGCCCATCTCACCTTTTCAGACGTTTCAATTTCTGTTGCAAGACGCCAGCATCTTTCCGTCGGTGTCGGCGTGACATCATGCCATACTACCTTTTCAATTGATTGACAGTTTCGGAAATGGGTCTGTAGTAGGATATAATTCGATTCATCCTGGCTTTGGGACATTGTGCCGTCAGGTCTTCGGAGAGTTCCCAACGTGCCGAGACCATGCTTCGCCAAAATTTTCCTTACCCTATTTGCCTGTGTTGTGGAATTTATCTCTTAGGTGAAGCTACGCCAAGAGGCTGTTTTCCAGTATCTAATACGTTTTTTGTACTTAGCTTTAATGGCTTTGTAGTTGTCCCAGTCCAATTCACTCCGAGTGTTCATGGCTCGGTTAAATTTCTTCCTCACCTTGCTTCTTATTTTCTGTAGCTCGGGACCCCACCAAAGGTGTTTACCCGAACCGTTAGATTTCGGAAATTTGAGAGGGCAGGCTTCCTTGTAACATTCAAAGATGCAATCGGAAACCATATTTACCTGCTGTTCTATTTGTACCGTGGTATCGATTCTACCATTTTTACACCTCGTACACAGTTTCTCTGACACCAAACGATTGTAAGGGGTTTTGTTAGTCTTTTTGGGGTACCTTTTTTAGTGATCGGTACCTGTAAGTCGATCCGAATACACCGATGATCAGAGCGTGACGCCTCTTTCGAAACGTGCCAGTCCGATATCGCTGGCACCGTTTCCAGGGTCGCGAGAGTAAGATCAATTATGGAGCTGCCGATCTTGCTCACAAAGGTGGGTTCGTTTCCTCTGTTCAATTTCAATAAGTTAGTGGTCAGAAGGAACTTATAACAACACTCCCCCTTACACACTAAATATTAATAAATTGTTAATAGTCTATAAAGAATTTAAGTAAAATAAATCTTTAATAAAATAAATATTAACTAATTATTTGGCCATAATTATAAAGTTGTGATCGTCTAGTGGTAGGACTCTTTGTTGTGTATTATATTTGTAGCAACCTTAGATTCTTTGTATGAAGGTGATTGTGAGTGGTTAGAGTATATATTATTGAGGGCATGGAGAAGATTAGATTTTAAACTAATAAATTAAAATGTATAAAATAATAAAAGATGTTTCTTCTTTGGTAAACAAATAAAATATAAGAAATGTTTGTTTACTAAATTAAGCTTAAATAATTAAAAGAACGTTATAGAATCGATATTTTATGTAGGAAAGGTAATAAAGTAAGTAAACAACAACAATGCCAGAAAATATGTAAAGAAAAGAAAATAAATACAGCATTGCTGATGTTTAAAGTGCTTTCGAGCCCCAACCAGGCTCAAAGCCCAGGGCCCACCACACGGCCCCTTAACCATTATTAACTCTAACCGGTCCAGCAAGGAATACCTTTCTAACCAGAAAATAAAACTACACCTCCACTAAAAAAAAAGAATTGCTCTGCAAAAGAGCAAAAGAAAACCCTATGTGATTCGTTAATGCACCTAGACTGATGTCCTCCATAAAGACAATGGAACATAGTTTGACATAGCATTAGTTATCGTCCACCGGTATCACGGGGAATGCGCCATTTCGACTACTCCAGTACGGGACAAGGAGACAACTAACACGATATCGCACAGGACCTCACCAATATGGAACACACGTCTAGGAACATTAGCTACCACATCAGAACGACACAATAAAGCGAAGCCCTATGATTATTTGTAAATATTACAGGCTTATTTGCCCTCCACTGAACTGATGGCACAGGTAATCAACCGAGCTATCTCTCACACTTCCGATACTGGCGGTGATCACCATCCTGACCCAGTATAGGATAGGCGTCACTGATACTGATATCTCACCGAACCATACATTCAAATGACGGACAACACCTACGATATTAACGAATAATTGGAACAACCCAATATTGTGGCTTCTTTTTAAAACTACGAAAACCTAGTAATAAAAATAGTATGAACAGACTCAAAAGAGTCCAAATAAGAAAAGTGAAACACATAAGAATTCTCATTCCAATCTGGACCGATCGAATTTGAAATTAGAATTATGAAATTGACTTGATTAATTCAAAATTGTAATATTTTCTTATGTCAGATTAGTAATGTGTTATTTGAGTAGTATGTTATGTATATAAATATATAGTATAATATAAAACACCTGAAAGACATGATTATACAGTAATTAATGACACACAAAAATCCTACTTGATAATAACCCCTTATCATAATTTATCTGCAATAATATACCGCTGTAGGGTTTGCCTATCAATTTCTCTTCAAAATTCGTCATCCATCATTCATACATACTATTTTGAATTACTGTAAATCGTTGTATTTTCAAGATTATATTATTTACTAAGAACGTATCGGATATTGCTTTCATATCTATGTCAGAAAAATATAAAAATTGATAAAACTACGTTCCCCAATGGCACTTACTTGTGGTCCAAAGCGGAAGCCCTGAACCCAAACTTGTTAAACCACTCAGCTCTGTTTATGCTCAAACTCGTATCGCCAGCTCCTCCTTCAGCGCTTCGCCCTTGATCCGCTTCCACTTGAACACACACTGACCGACTACCAGAGTTCCGCATCCGTTGATGTCACTCGCCGAAAAAGCTCCCGAATCTCATGCCTACTTCTTTTTATACACTTATCTTTTCTAGAACCTTCTACACACACACATCAACAAGCTCATTCGCTTTAGTTTAGGTACCCATCCCCTCAAACAGTCAAATCCATTACTAAAT